GGCTTCTCCTCTGTGATCTGCACCTCCTGAAGCTCTGCCATGGTGGCCTGGCAGGGTGAGGAAACAAGACAGAGTGGTTGCCTCCTCACCCTTACCCCTCCTCAAACACTGGGCTTCCCCTGTCAGCACTGGACAATACAAAGTATAGAGGGACCCAGGAGTTGAAGACTACTCCAGGATACCCATAGGACCTTTCCTGCCTCAGCTCCATTTCCAGACCACCTGGGAGAAGGGGGTGCAGAACAGGAATCAGGACACCACTCCTCTTCAGACTGCCAACCTCACTGCTGCCCCTTAATATAGGCACCTCCAGACCCTACCCCTCCCCTATCCTGTASGGAAATACCAGAGTAGAGCAGCAGTTGTGGCTCTGGTTTCCCAGGCTATATTTAGGGGACACCCACACTCCCAGTTAGGTAGAGGGTGAAACTCGTGGCTCAGTGACTGGGTACTCTAAACATACAAAGGAGTAGGGTGATGAGAGTTCATGGTGGACTATAACCTTCAACTAAAGCCCAAGGTCAGCAACTCAAAGGAAAGGGGACTAAAAGTAGTCAGAGCAATGAACAATTGAGAAAAGGGACACTACAGCACAGGGACCTGAGTATCCAACCCTACCAATGCCTCCCTTTGTCCCAAGACTCAAGACTCCCTCCGGATTACATTCAACATTAGCAGGGGCCAGGAGGGGCAGAGCACCAGGGCAGACCTGCAGAAGAACGAGTTTACAGCTTGTGGGTGGGGTCACTTACTGGGCTCCTATTGGCTGGATTCAGTGGGATTAGGGGTCAGGGTTCTCACTCCTCCTGACTCTGGGGTCTGAGAAAACACAGTTACACGAGGTGAATGACATGGGAAACAGACCCTGGGTCTTTTAGGGACAGGAAGCATCAGCCAAGACCCAGACTCCCAGGGTCACTAACCCTCCCCAATCTCTACCCGAGTCCAGAGAACGCGTCCTCTCTAGGCTTCAATCAATACAGGTTGGAGGGACCTGCAGGACAACACGGAGCTGGCTTCTGCCCAGGCTGGGGTGGGGGCTGGCGAGAAGGAAGTGCTGATGTGGAGGAGGAAAAAGCATATCTGTCAAAACCTCTGGATTCTAACCCTGGCTCTGCCACTACCAGTTGACCTTGGCCCACTGGGTTACTACTCAGATCTCCTCCTGAAAACTAAAAGGGGGGAGTAGGGGACCCCCAAAATTTTTGACAGCTGTCGTTTAMGATGAGGGTTTCTCTCCACCATTTAAAAACAAAAAAGTCTCCAGCCTTCACCCGGTCCTCTGTAAATCCTGTGAGTGGAGAAAGGGGAGGGTGGGGAAGGCGGTCCCATAATCTCCCAGCCTCCCCCGACGGCGAGCCAGGGCAAGCGCCAGCTGGGAAGGGATGAGTAGGATTTACGGCACTGGCCGGGCCCAGCACCCAGAGCCTGTCCCTAYGCTGCCAGTCCGCGTGAGGATCGACACCTTTGGGCTGCAGGCGCCAAGCGTCGTGCACCGTGGACACAATCTCTCGCACACCCAAACACGCCCGTCGGCTCGCAAAAGCCTCCGCCTTTGTGCGCAGCAGCCCCCTCCTTGCGGGGCCCCTTTCCCGGAGCCGCCAGCTTCAATAAATCGGGATCAAACCGCCCACCGGCCCGGCGGGCGCCTTCCAGGCCCGGCGGCCCCTCGCCTGCCCCTCCCCCTACCTGCTGCCGCCGCGGTTGCTTCCACCTTCACTTGCCTTTGACTCGGGCCCGCCCCGGCTCGGACTCCCCGCAGACCCGCCCCCGGCCCGCCCCGGCCCGCCCACGGGCCGACAGCTCCCAGCAGATCCGCCCCAGACCCCCAGTAAACACACCCCCCCTTTACCCCGCCCCAGACTGTCCTCGGCTCAGGGAGGGGCTGTGCTGGGGCAGAAGGGAGTGCAAGGAAAGCAAACTGGGGGATGCTTCCAGGCTCCACTTGAGCTCCACACAACATCCCCCGCCAGGAGCGGTGTGGGGCGTGCGTGGGGACCCCGTAACCCTGCAAGGGATCCCTACGCCCGCCCTCGACACCGCCTCTATCCGTGGCCTGTATCTGCCTGTGGTACTCTAGCCCCCTTCGCCCCTAGACTCAGTTATGGGTTGGGTGGAGGGAGACCTACAAGGTATGGCACCCCAAATTTTCAACTGCCGCCCCCCTGGAAACAGAGAGCTAGGTTAAGGAAAGAGGAGGAGGGCGAAGCCGGCCGCTGAAGAGGATGGGGTCTCGCGGGCTGGGAGGGGTCGACGTGCCAGCTCCGAGCAGGGTTGGGGGCGTCGAGGACGCAGGAATTTCGACTCCCGGGTGCCCAGGGTCCTAGTACCTCCTTTCTTTGCTGCGTCCGACGCCTGCTCTCCGGCTGCGCTGTGAGAAGTTGGACAACAAGGAGCGGGGGCGGGGAATGCTGGGGGCCGCTATAAATAGAGGGTGTTCGCTGGAGGGGAGAGAGGATGGCCAACAGGGACTCCCGGGTCAAGGCCCCAACGAGGGGGGGCGTTGCTGAAGGAGGGGCCGGGGACCCCCAAGGGCTCTGACTCCTGGGTAAACAGGGGCGGAGGTGGAGTTAACCCTGCGGGGGTGGAGTGGGGGCTTGGGGAGGACGCAGTGTCCCGGGCTGGGACCCAAGAGACCCTGTGGCTAACCACTCCCAGTCCGGCCCAGGAAAGGAGGGCGAGACCGGCTCAGACTGGCTGAACGCAATCCCTACAAGATGGTGTCTGAGGGACTGCTGTGACTCTCCGTGCTTGGGTGGGTTTGTCACTCTATACTTCCACACATATACACACACCATAGATGGACCCTCCCTGTGCCCCTCAGAGGAATGCCGCCTGGAATGGGATAGTTGATGTGGCCAAGGAAATTCAAAGTTGTCTTATACAAAAGGAAACCAGATTCAATTTCTCCCCACCTGCCCCCTCTTCTATCTACCCTCCTTCCTAGGATCATCCCCACCCCATCCCCCTTCAGCCCGGTTCCTGAGCTGCCATTTCGGGGTCTGGGCACCAAGCCAGTTGGAAACAATGGCCAATGGAACCCGAGCTGCCAACTGCAACACCAGCATAGACTGCCCCCCCAGACCCCCAAACTGCTTTCCCCCTCCTGCTTGGGAACCACCCTCCCACCACTTCCCTCACCACTGGCAACCCCCTCCCATCCAAGGAACATCAATGCCCCTTTCATCCCCACTTGGCAGGTCTATTGGAAAGAAGGAGATGCCAAGAGGGAGGAGGGGACCCAGAGTAAGAGAACTGGTTGGGCTCAAACCCAGGCTTCAAAACCCCCATATCCAGGGGGCTCCTATGTTCCCGGATTTGAAGACCCTAGTTTTCCTGTTTCTTTCTCCCATTCCCTTCATAACTTTTTCTGTAGAAACTGGCACAAAAGCTTGGCACCATGGCTCCCTGCCTAGCCCCCTCAAGTCTCTGGATGCTGTTTAACACTACCCTAGACACGGGTCTGCTGAAATTAGGGTCATAGCTTCAGAGGCATAGGACAGAAGATAAAGATCTCAGCTGCAATGATGGAACTCCAGTAGAAAGAGAACTTAGAGCAAGAATTTTGCCTGCAATTTTCTTTGATTTATCTAAAGTCAGCTTACTTGGAGTGGGGGAGGGAGAGACCTGAAGGTTCCAGCATCTAAATTCGTCTCTGGGTCAGGATGACTCAGGGGGAACCTGATAAGGGGCCTAGGCAGGGGCTTGGGCCAGGCAGGAGATGGGAAATTTCCACTGAGATCTATTTGCTTCCCATGCCTAGGGGGTCCCATTCAGCCTGCTGCAGGCAGAAGGAAGAGCTTTCAGAGGATTCTTTCCTATTTGGACTGCTCAGAGACAGATCTGGGGGTAATTGTCCCAACAAAGACMGTACATTCTATATATTCAACTATACATTCAACTAAGCAACCGTTTTTAAGCATCTGCTATATGCAGTTACCGCATACATGGAATTCGAAGAAGTGTGAAGTCTGGTCACACCCTCACTAGAAATTTGATCCAGTGGTCAGCAGATGGTGTAAACACGAAGAAGTTTAGGAAAAAGTGTATGTATATATATATATATATATATATATGATCAACATTTTGGAGAATAGGTACTAGAGAGTAGTTTTCCACTCTTTTAAGTAGATTAGAGACATATTCTTGTCTATTACACACCAAGACCCCCACTCTTTCCCTGTTGGGTCCAACACCCGGAGCCCTTCGAAATTGAGGTTGATCGGCCAAAGCTGGTGGGATTCTCCATGCTTGTTACTACACAGACTAGACAGAAGCACAGAGTGGACTGAAGTCAACCTGTTTTCATTTATCACTATTGTCTGAATGTTTATGAACCCTCAAAATTCATATTTTAAAATCCTAACTCCTAAAGTGATAAATTAGGAGGTGGGACCTTCCGGTATCATGATTAAGTTTCATAAGGGCAGAGTCCTAATAAACAAGGGAGCTGTTTTCTCCTTTACCCCATGGTGTGAGGACACAGTAAGAAGGTATCATCTATGAACAAGAAAGCAGCCCTCACCAGACACTAAATCTGCTGATGCCTTGATCTTAGACTTTCTGGCCTCCAGAAATAAATTTCTGTTATTTATGTGACAACTAGATTATATTTTGTTATAACTGTGAGAACAAGCTAAGACACCTCCTCTGGGCTCTCCTCAGCTCTTTATAGTGGGGCAGAGCACCAGGCACTTTGATCAGGACCCAGAACTAGGCTGAAATGATGAAAATCTGAGCAAGCCAGAAGGTTGGCAATTTGCTCAATTCAGCGTACAAGGTAAAGAGACCAAAACCCTTCTCCTAAGACAGGGGTACAGCTGGAACCAGCAGTGATGTCACATAACCACTGAGATCATAGAAACTTTCCTCCACGCCCCTTCCTGTCTCCTGGTTGCCACAGTCTACCTAGCCCTTTGACTCCCACACATCTGCACACACTTGCTTAAAAGGGTAGGAAGGGTCAGTGTACYATCCAGGCACTTTCAGGTACCCAGAAGTGGTGGGAAAGGGGGAGTGTTCCGTGTGGAGTATCCCAAGTGCTGAGAAGGATAGACTCCTGCTGTTGCTGTAGCAGATGGAATGGAGAGGGGATGAAAAGAGAAGAGAAGGAAAGAGGGGAATTATTCCTGTGTCTGGTGTATATTAACCCCCATCCTCATTATTCTTCAGTCCTCCCTTCCCCTCTTCCCTTACCCCCAAGGTTCCCCCTACTGCCCTCCCCCACCTTCAGCTGCTCATGGCATCAGAAGCAGAGAAAACGTTCCAGCGATTTGCTGTCTTTGGAGAATCATCAAGCAGTGGCACTGAAATGAACAACAAAAATTTCTCTAAACTGTGCAAAGACTGTGGCATCATGGACGGCAAGGCAGTCACCTCCACTGATGTGGACATCGTGTTCAGTAAAGTGAAGTAAGAAGACAAAGGTGGGGGTTGGGGAGTAGCCAGAGCAAGGCAGTTGGCCATGAGGTGTTGGTGTGGCCCAGCATTTGTACTGGGCTTACCAAGCAGCCTGTGAGGTTGGGGAGGGGACCTGCTTTCAAGACATTTGGTGATAGATAGGACAAAAGAGGCCAAGTCTGAGTAAGGGAAAGGTAATGAGTTCATATTCAAAGTCCCTGGATTTCTGTCTGACTCACCAGGGCCAAGAATGCCCGAACCATCACATTTTCAGAGTTTCAAGAGGCAATGAAGGAGCTGGGCCAGAAGCGGTTCAAGGGGAAGAACCCAGATGAAGCCCTGCAGGCTGTTTTTAAACTCATGGAAGGCAAGGACCCTGCCACCACTGGAGTTACTGTGAGTGATGTTCTTCATCCCTAGCCCTTTATTCTACTTCCCTAAATCCCTACTGCTGCAGTCTCCCCTCCCATTCATTAATGTCCTGAATCCAGTGCAACTATAGGAAACAGAGCATTAAGTCTGTGGTGCACTGTTGGTACTGGCATAGACTTTACAGACCATGTAGTCATTCCAGAGGTGACCCAGAGAAGGGAAATAACTTGCCCAAGGTGCATGGCAATTGGGGGTTGGAGCTGAGCCACACCCCTAGCTGCAATATAGCTATTTTAATAGTAGAATTTAGAATCATCCCCAAGTCTCCAGGATCTGAACCAGGCATCTAGGGCTTTGGGGGGACGTTAACATAGAGGKTTTGGAACTTGATCCTCAGTCCTCCTCCTTTTCTTATTTAAGATTTAATCTGAGATCCCTTGGTTTGGTGGAGTATGCCTGTAATCCCAGTCACTAGGGAGGTTCAGGCAAGATTACAAATTCAAGGCCAGCCTCAGGAATTTAGCAAGACCTTCAGAAATTTAAGGAGACCCTATCTCAAAAAATAAAAAGGACTGTGGGATATAGTTCAGTTGTAAAGTGCTCCTGGGTTCAATCCCTAGTACCAAAAAAAAAAAAAAAAAAAAAATCAGAGAAAGAGAGACCTCTTACCTGTCACCTACCATTTTACTTAATTGTACCCTCTATATGAAAAGCTATTTCTACTCTGTCCATTGGGTCAGAGGCTGAAGTTCTTTGGCAGCAGTCTGGTCAGAAAAACTCCACTGGAAACAGAAGCATCCACCCCCCCTCCTCACAGACCACACGCACTCTTACACCAGATTCCTCCTGCCTCAGAGGTCCTGCCCACAGCTGCTTCTGGTCCATGAGGAAGCAGTACTGTGCCAGAGGCATAGCAAGAGCTGTGCGCTCTTGTTCTGAGGATCTAAAGCCATCTTTGGGGAAGGGCTGTGACAGTGCAGGGGAAGGAAGAGGGCTCAAACCCCTCCTCTGGCTTGCAGAAGGCAACAACAGTGGGTGGAGTAGATCGTCTGACAGACACCAGCAAGTACACCGGTACCCACAAGGAGCGCTTTGATGACAGTGGCAAGGGCAAGGGGATTGCAGGACGGGAAGAGGTAACTGACAACACTGGCTATGTGAGTGGCTACAAGGGTGCTGGCACCTATGATAAGAAGAAGTAGAGAAGAGCCTCATCTTAGCCTGCCCTGACCCTTCATCTTTAACACCAGGGAGCTTGAGAAGCAATAAACATCTGTGTGTGCAGCAGCAAATAAGCTCAGTCTAATGAGGGTGAGGGACTAATTGTTGCACTGGTGGAGAGGGGRAATAGAGAGAGCCCAAGGAGTCAGGGTATAGCCGTATGTCCTTTTACCCTGTCTAGTTTCATGACTATCAGCTGTAAGTTAGCACTCCCCTCAATTTCTTTTTTTTTTTTTTTAAAGAGAGAGTGAGAGAGGAGAGAGAGAGAGAGAGAATTTTTAATATTTATTTTTTAGTTCTCGGCGGACACAACATCTTTGTTGGTATGTGGTGCTGAGGATCGAACCYGGGCCGCACGCATGCCAGGCGAGCGCGCTACCGCTTGAGCCAGATCCCCAGCCCACTCCCCTCAATTTCTAACAACAGGACGAGGAATACACTTGGAGATAAGAGATGAGCGAGATGTGGAAGCATAAGTATTTATGTGTTCACATATCACTAGTATCCATCCCTTCTATCTCCCAAGGGGAATAGCATTTTCTTATTTGACATAATGTGACCTAGCTGACAATTATAGGAGCCCCCCCCCCCTTTTTGTTTTTTTGGTACCGGGGATTGAACTCAGAGGTGCTTAACCACTGAGCCTAGCTTCATCCCCAGCCCTTTTTATATTTTATATTTTAGAGACAGGGTCTCGCTGCTTAGGGCCTTGCTATGTTGCTGAGGCTGGCTTTGAACTCAGGATCCTCCTGCCTCAGCCTATTAAGCCCCTGTGCCAGCTAATTATTTGATCCTTTCTTATCCCTCTAACCTTCCACATATAATGCAATCCAGGTTTTGTTGGGAGAGAAATAGAAACCAGGTAAGGCAGCCTGACTCCTATTACAAATTTGTTCCAGAGCTGGGGGAGAGGAGAACCCATTTTCAACACCCGGGTTAGAAGTGAGTTTTACCCACCCCAACTCCATCATGGTACCCATGGAACGGAAGACCTCTGTGTGTATTAGGGGCTGGGAGGTTCTAGGGATCAAACCCAGGACCTTGCACATACTGAGCAAATATGCTCTGCTACTGAACTACATCTTTTGATTTCTAAGGGTAGCTGGGCAATTTGGCCAGAGATGGGTGGTCACTAGGACTTGGAGAGCAAGAAAAAAAGAATTAAATCAGGACTGATTCAGATGCGTTTTTAACTTTTTATTTTGAAATGATTACAGATCCACAAGAAGTTGCAAAAATTGGTATAATGAGGTCTTATGTACCCTACACCCAGTTTTCCCCAATGGTTCTATCTTAACTCAGAATGTGGTTTTAAAACTTTACATGGCCAGAACCAGGCCCACCTCATCCACCTCATGCTTTATTAGCAGCAGACCCTGGAGTTTGGACAATGTTGGGAGCTACTGAAAATAAAGGAATGGATGAGAGAAGATAACTTGAAATCCCAGTGGCCCTAGATGAGAAGAAAGGCAGGTTAACAGCAGTGGGAGTGCTGGGAGAGATAGCTCTGGACTCATGAGGAGGAGAAAGGAAAGGGCAGGTTATATAAAGGGAAATATCAAGGATTTCCSAGAGGTGCAGAACAGAGACTGAGGAGGATTGTAGGGAAATGAGGCTAAAGTGGGTCTAAAGGTCTCAGGGAGGTTYCTATAGCTAGAGATACCCACCAGGTAGGTTTGGAAGGGAAGAAATTGTCAATTTTAAGTTCTCTTGTAGAGGCCAAGGATACCTATCGGTTGGCCTTCATACTTGCTGGAGCAGAGCAGGTAGAGCTGTCGGTTGGTTTCAGTGCTTGAGTAGCGGCAGCTGGTGGGCGGCTGTCTCTTGTTCACTCTGCAGATTGTGATGGGGAAGGGCTTCGTGGTGAGTGTGCAGTACTCATTGTAGTTCTCACAGAAGCTCTCACTATTCTTGCAGGACTTCCAGATGGTTTTCCAGGGGGTGTGCAACACGTAATGTGTCTCAGGRCAATACCATTGTTCCTTTCTGCCCCGCACGTAGGACATAAAACCATTACAGTAGCCCTTGAAATCATCCGGGAATTTCRCCTTGGGATAGTCCATGTTTAAGGTGCGGAAGTTCTGGACAGCAATCTCCAGCTGGACAGCCATGACCAGAGTGGGCCCTAGAACAAGCTGGAGGAAGAGAAGCTGGGCCACAGCTGGTGCCATTCCTCCTGCTGGCAGAGTTAAGGTGGTTGGAAGTAGGGTGGGCCTACYGTGTCTGTATGCCCCTTCCCAGAGCCTCCAGTACTACCCAACCTTCCCCATATGCCTTCCCTGCTCTTTTAAAGGTGGCCGTTCAGCCCAAGTCCTCATGACCCAGAGAGGGGAGGCATTTGCCCAAGTCCACCCAGGTAATCTGCCATCTCCACMATCCCTCCCTTGGTCCACCACCAGGTCTCAGTCTCACCCAGTCTGTGAGCTGCAACACTTGTAGAATGAGCTTCAGCAGCTTGTGAGTGAGAAATGCTCCCAGTGGTCCCTGGCCCAACACCCTTTGCTAAAAAAATGCAGAGCACTAAGAGGAACAAACTGGGCTGATGAGTCTAACAGTTCTGGAGGAAGAACAGGAACTGAAGACAGCTGGGCGGGGCAGGGATGCTTCTTGCCTGAGGCCAAGAACAAGCTAGAGGTAAGATGAGGCTAATAAAAAGTCTCTGGGTAAAGACCAGCCTGGAAAGAATGAGTGGGCCCTGAATTTGGGGACCCCCTGTGCTGAGGGGGTTGGATGGGTGGGAGGAAAGAAACATTGCTCTCTGATCGTCTCTTCATTGGTGTCCTCAGAACACTTAGTTCCAGCCTCCTTGCCAGAAGTTTTGAAGTTCCTGGGCTTGCTTTGATGTTTGCTCAGGCTCATCAGCCCTGCTCTCTCAGCAAGGTGAAAAGGAAAGCACCATCATGTTTCTGAGAAATAAAGTGCTTCTTATTCCTGACCCTCAGAGAACGGAGAGTCCAGCACTCCCTGGTCCCGCTCACAGGAGCCCCCAAGGCCATGTGCACAGGGACCTCCCACCAAAATGCCAGGCTGAGAATCAAGGACTACCTCAAGGACTCCCCACAGTCCCTGTCATCAACCAATGCCCCTAATGTGTGATTCAGGCCCCGTCAGAGCACTCCTGGAAATCTATGCACGATGACTCTAAAACCCAAAACTTGACAGATTGTTTCTAACAGTATAACCTGGACTTAAAAGGTTGTGGACCCACTGAGCCTGGTCTGATCAGATTCTCACTCTCGGTTGATCTTTGGGTGGTTTGTTGTGCTAGAGAAAGGGCCAGGTTTCCTATTTCTCTTTTTACCAAATATCTGCCCCTTCATCAAAAAGCAAGCTTCCCGGAGCCTGCCAGCCCTCGACCTTGATTTCCACAGGCCCCTCAGCCTTGTGTCTATGCAG